GGAAAAGAGTACATGATTTTTAGGGCTTGTTCTTTTGCAAATATTTTTGAGTTAAGTTTTTGAGTTGAGTTTGAGTTATAACTTGAGTTGAAGTTGTAACTTGAGTTTGCGTTTGATTGTGTACATTTGAGTTATGATTTGAGATAAGAATCTTTTTGAGTTTGTGTTTGAGTAAGTTAAAACTTAAATTTGTATTTAGATAATATTTTAATAAAAACTCAATGCTGATGAAAAATTTTAATAGGGTATATGGATATAGTTTTATTCGTCTTTTCGTTGTCAACGCATAGAAAAAAAATCATCTCAATCAGAATTAAAACAAAAAAGTTTTAGCATTTTTAAAGATAGAAAAAATACTGTTCATTAATTTGAGTTTGAGTTTCTGAACTCGAGTTAAAGGGGAAACTTGAACTCGAGTTTTAGTTTTAAACTCGAGTTCGAACTCAAATTTAAACTCGAGTTCAAACTTAAAAGAACATTAACTCAAATAAAATTATAACTCGAGTTATTTTTTTTTAAATTTTTCACTCAAAAACATAATTGTCGAACAGTGACTTGTGATTGTGATTCAGTACTAATATCAGTGGGCCCTCCACTATTCCACTTCACAAAAAAATGATAACAAGACCAACGCATTTCCCCTCATCCTGCTATTCGTCAAGTACTGTGTTTAGTAAATTAGAAGAATATATATATATATATATATATATATATATATCCGTTCTGATCAATCGTCACCTTCAGCCGAAACTTGAAAGTCTAATGGAAAAAAGCTTAAAATATCTTTTCTTTGGTAATAAATTTTCCCAAGAGATCAGAACATTCAGTTTATATATATATGAATAATTATATGTTAAAATTAAATTCATTTAAAAGTGATAAATTAAGATTAAAATTATTTAGATTTTAATGTATTTAATAAGATGTGAACATTTAATGCGTAAGTATTTAAGAGTAATTTTTATTTTTATTATAGAATAAAATAAAAATATCAAAAGATAACATTAAAAATTATCTATATATAGTGATTATAATCCTAATATTATATGTGACATTTTATTCTTTTTAACATCTAATTATGAGAGAGAGAACAATAAAAAAACTAAAATTTTTTTTAGAAAAACGTACTACTATAAAAATAGACCATACAACTCTAAAAAATAATTTATTATCATAAATTTAAATATATTTTTATTTATTAATTTATTAATTCTTAATGATTTAACATAAACATTCTTAAGTTTTATTGGGCGACAGTTTTCACTAAAAGATATTTTCTAATAATCAGCTGAAACGCCAGCTGGCAAATAGATCCTAATAATATTTTTCCAGTAATAAAGAAGACAAAATTTTCAGCTTATGAATCACAGAAACACTTGTTGTCGTACGTACACGTTTTGCATGGACCAGGTAGCCAGCTAGCGTATAGACTATATAGCTAAATATTTGATAGCCCACGAGCTAATAATTCTTTTTTGGGGAACAACATTTGAAGAAAAGAGAATGTTTACTGGAAATGGCGCAAGTGAGCTTGATAACTATGGGTTCAGATAATCAAGTACAGTATTATGAAATCACAAAGCGAATGTTTAATTCATAAATTTTAAATTATAATTTAAAATTATTTTTAATTTATATATATTTTTTATGAAAAAAAATATTATAATAAATTATGAATTATGATTCGAATTAAGGTACGAACCCACCAATTAAATAATCCAAAAGTTATTGCCAATTACTAGGCTTGCGTATATATAAATTATAAACTAAGGACTTAAATCTAGTAAACCTGCAGATCAAGCCAGCAAATGTTGGATGCATCTCAAATACACAAATCTTTTTTCTTTCTTTTTTAATTTTGCTTTGAAAGTACACAAATCTTTTGAAACATACAAGAATACTTTTTATTTACTTATATTAAATAAATTATCGATCGTATGACTTTATTTATGTATACTAATACCATGCATTAATCTAGCTAGGATTAATGCAGATACTAGCTAGCACATTATGTGTTTGAAATATTAGAACTTTTTCAGTTTATCGATTCGAATTTTTTATTTGAATTGAGATATAATTTTATGTGAAAATTTTTAATTATAGTACTAAAAAGAAACCATGCAGAAACAACTCCGTACTAATCAATTAATGAAACGGGCCCGGCATTCTGGACAAAAACAAAAGGGTACTGAAAGCACTCTTTAGCGTCACTTTCTGATTTTATTCCAATATAGGAACCACTTTGATGAAATCGATACTAATTCTTACCTGTATTTCTTTCTGTACAACTTTCTAGCTGTTTCTTTCAAGTTTCAAGCAACAAACCCCTATAACTTATTAAACCATTACAATTCCTTTATACATACGCACTAATTATAATGAGGGCTAAAAAAAACTATATAATAAGTAAAAATTAGGGCACTTTTTTTTTTTTGGCTAGAAAGTAAAGAATATTGCACTAGTTAATCAAAACTTACCAATTAAATAAACACCGTGCATCTAAAGCTAGCGTTTGAGCTCTCAAATTTGAAATCCCTCAGTTACGGCCGGAACGGATGTATTTATATAGCTCATTAACAAGTTTGTCTCTTCTAAACCCAATGTTTTGTTAGAAGAAAAGAAAAAAGTAAACGAATATAAAATTAGCTAGGAGTACTAGTACGTAGTATGAAAATAAACCTTTTCATATTTTTTAAGGGATTTTGTAATTGTTTTTTTTTTTTTAAGTTTATTTTGATCAGATTGCATATGCACTATCGAACGATGGTATGTACCCTAGAAAACTCCAAATCAGAAATCAAAAGTAATCATACTCACATGCGCTTGATATTTATTGAGCAACAGTATGGGGACAAAACAATTGATGTATATGCAGCTGTCTCCAACGTTGTAAGAAAATTAAAGAAGTCTTATAGCCGTGTAATATTCCAAACATTTAACATACTTCAACAACAAAACAAAACGTACGAACACACAAAAATGTGGCAAGCTGAGTAAATTTATTCCCACCACTTTCTCCCCAGGAAGCCGCACAGTAGAGAGTGTAAAGGCTAAGAGAGTCAGTAAATTTGATCCTAAGTCTAATTCAGTAAGGCCAATTTTGAGAACCGACATGTCACATGACTCGGCAGTAGGCACACTTAAAAGTAGCAAACCAAAAGTCGGGGCCGACCATCCACATTTCATGGCATGTACTAAAATTATGTATGAACCCTTTTTTCTTTTTTCTTATTTTTATCTATTTCTTGCTTTTTTTTTTTTTTTTTTTTCCTTTTCTACCTCTTCGAGAGTGTTCTTAAACCAATCCATTACTTGAAAAATGTAATCTATTTGTTTTAGGTGTACCAACCTAAGCCATTAACGAAGTACTTTACAAGACATGTGAAATAGCTCAAAACCATAATTGGGACTCATGAAAAACAGAGAAGATGATGTATAACATCTTTCTATCATAGCTCATGCAATAACGTTGTCAGGCATATTTGAAGTGGGGCTTTACAGATCATGGGTCTCTTTATTTGGTTTTGCCGCGTGGAGCCGGCCAGCTCTACACATTTATTTTGTGCATATATCATTGTTTGGCGATAAGATTGGTGGCAATGGAAAAAAAATAAATAAATGAAGATAGGAATACATTAAGAAACCTCTGGTTTCATTGACAAAAACGGGAACCTTCTAGCATCTAGGTCTTGTAATGTTAGAAGTTAGGTTAATCCTCTAATGGTCTTCGGACTTTTACCCTCAATTCTACAATTTGTTTTCCTAATTTTTTAAAACGTCTCTGGCTAATTTTAATTCAAATATATCACTTTGTTTTATTTTTAACCCTTTTTTTAGTTAGATGTTAAAAAAAAAAGAATGACGGAATATATATGATATTGATATTAAATAATCTTTATTTTTACAAAAAATAAAAAAAACGGAACATCCATCCTTATTTTTATTTATTTATTTTTTAAAGAAAACCGTCCATTCATACCTTGTGCTTTTTTCAGCATCTAACTTTTTATGGATTTTTACATCTAATTGAGGAAATGAATAAATTGAGATAACACGGTTAAGTTTGGAGCAATTTAAAAGTCAATAATTAAAATTAAATTGAAATAATCATGCAAATTGAATGATTTATAATTCCGATTTGCTTAATGCATATTGCATTATTTTTAATTTCGTAGGTGTTAATAAGATAAAACCTACTAAAAACCTCGTATACGTATAGAATACCATTAAACGCATTGAAAAATAATAATAATAATAAAAAAGAGGAACTCGGTATCTAAAGCGTAATGGTTAACGTGGGTAGGAATACAAATGCACGTTAGGTTGGGATCTAAAATTGTGAGAATAATGTTCGTCCTGGTAATCCACTTGAACTTTTGTTTGGCGGACAATTATTCTAGATAACAATAAGATTAGCTTCGGAAACTTCACGTAACCTTCAAACTTTCAGCTTTGAAATAAGACAAATCTAGCTTCACGTAACGGCTTTCTTTTTGTTCCCCGTAACGTTGTTAATTTACAAAGAAGGTCCAATTACTAGATGCCACGAAAGCAAAGTAGTCACCATAAAAGATGCAACACCATTGATCTCTCTCTTCAAGGAAAAAAAAAAGAAGAAGAAAAATCTACCAAAAGAAAAGAAAAGGAAAAATCCGATTGGTCTTTCACAGTCCTCATAGAGAATCATCCAGTCAAATTGCAAAAACCAACTTACAGTCTGTAATCCGCTGGAATATAAATAGGAGTTCAGCAAAAATGAAAAAACAAAAAAGAAAATATCCGTTTAGTTCATAGATTAGAACTATGTGATTAGAACTATTTTCAATTTACGTATATTTTTTATGAGAGAAAATATTGTAACGAACTACAAATCATGATTTGAATCAGGGAACGAATCCCTCTACCAAACATCTACAAAGTTTCACCAACCCTACGTCATTTCATTTCTTATAAATACCCCCCACTTGAAGTCATTTGTATCCCACACCAAATCAATTCCTTTGATATCCAAAAACTTGCCTTTTTTCCTGTATCATCTTCAACACATTCATCTCCTTTGTGCCAGTTCTTGTAATTGTACACTTGTTCCTTCAAAAAATGAAGCTCGTTTTCGCTGCTTTCCTTATTTGCCTTGTCCTCAGCTCCTCTTTCGTTGAGACCACAATGGCTGGTTCAGGTAATAATATTTATAGTATTAACTTCTTAATTTAATATTTATAGTACTTGGTAATTTGGCTTACCAGGAAGAAGAACAAAGTTCTTATATTCTGGTGATCATTGGGACTGATTATGGTAGAACACTTGCAACCTACATCATAAATTATTCCATGTATATTACTTGAATTTGCAGTTTGACAATTTTTTTTTCTTTTTGCTGTTTGATAAATATATTTAGAGTCTGTTTAGTTCACTGATTTGAGTTTTTAATTCGAGTTGAGATCTAATTTTATATAAGAGTTTTTTATTATAGCAAAAAAGTAAATGTAATTATTTTAAGAGCTTTTTACTGTAGTAAAACTTGAATTTTAAATTTGAATTTGTGAAATAAATATCGCGCTATATATTTAAGATTAGCTGGATGAACGTTATAATATTGGTTAGAAATTGTTGGAATATATGCAGCTTTCTGTGACTCCAAGTGCGAAGTAAGATGTTCAAAGGCGGGAGTAAAGGATCGTTGTTTGAAGTACTGTAAGCTGTGCTGTAACAAGTGTCAGTGCGTTCCTTCTGGGACGTACGGACACAAGGACGAGTGTCCTTGCTACAGGGACCTCAAGAACTCCAAGGGCCAATCCAAGTGCCCTTAATTCTATCTCTACATTAATTCTTCCTTCATATATATATATATATGCTGATATATAATGTTGGTTTGGGAGCTAGAATGGATTGGACCCTATATACAATTTAAAAAGTTGTATCAACAATAAATGTTGTCTGTTGTAGTTTGCCAAATTATTGTGTTTCTTTTTTTTTTCTTTTTTTTTTTTTGTGGTCAAGAATATTGGATATAGAGAGATTATTCTCAAAATGAAAAAGAATACATACTATTGGGAGAATAAAGGGGTCCTATTTGTTTGTATTATTATTATGATCAATATTCTGATATGAATTTATGTACGTGATATTGGGCGCGACTAAAATTCTATGTTATGCGATGTATTTCAATAGATCTCTCTTTCTCTTTGATTCTTTAGCGTGACACCTACCAGGATCCAGAATGATCTTACGTAAAAGAAAACCAAAAATGAAACTTTTGTGGATGGCACGGCCGTTGTGGTATTTGAACAAATTCAAAGCGCATGATACAACGTTTCCTCACTCTCTATCTCTCTGGCTTAGTTTGGTAGGCTTAGTTTGGTAGTGCTGTAGACTTTGAAAAAATTACTTTTAGCTGTGCTGAAGAAAGAAATAGTTGTTATAAAAAGCAGTTGAGTGTTTGGTAAACTATAATTATAGTAGCTGTGTTAGTTTCAAAATCAGTGTAATAGCGTTTGGTAAATTATGAAGTTAAATTACTGTAGATAGTTAAAAATTACGACTATATTATATTATACTATAATATAATATATATAATTACAATATAATATATATTTATTTTTTTTAATATAATACAAAAAAACTATTATTATATAATATATTATATAATTATAATATAGAATATAATAATATTATTAAAATAATAACTAAAAAATTAAAAATAACAATTATATTATATTATATTATACTATAATATAATATATATAATTACAATATAATGTATATTGATTATTATATTTAATATAATACAATAAAACTATTATTAAATAACATATTATATAATTATGATATAGAAT